ACTTAAATAACAATGGGAGCTAGAAGACTGGTGGTATAGGTTCGAATAGCAGCATCACGGTAGTATACATATGTACAGAATAGGAAAAAAATAAAATGCACTTGCACTTAACTAGATGTAGCTAAAAGAAAATAAGAATATGATAAACGAAATGGTGCAATATCTCAACAATTTGGTAACTATGATAAATCTAGAACTTAATGCACCAGTATCTACTCGCTATCTATACCAAAAAACATATGACGAAATTTCTAACAATTTACAGAACTATATCAAATTGATTAATAAAATACAGAGACACACATAGTGTAGTTCTTCATATTGCCTTCGTACGAACTGAGATGGGCAGCAGTTCTGTAGATATGGTTATTCTAAAGAAAATAGTAAATTCACTTTTTTGCGTGATGATCATCATAGACAGCTAGAGCTTATTACTGCAAGAAATGACCTATATATCAATTCATATAGTTGACTTTAATTGCAAAAATAGAGAGTGAATGTGGATTTGAAGCCAATACTTAGCATTCATGTAGCTTTGCAATATATTGCTAAGTACGCAAGTAAGGCAGAACCACGATCTACTGCTTTTTTAGAAATATTTAATCAGATACTTCGAGATAACTGATCAGATGATCTGATACTTGCTCCAGTTCAAAAATTGCTATCACATGCATTGCAGAACATGATATTTCAGCTCAGAAAACTTGTTACCTTTTTATAGGTATACTACTATATCATTCAAGCCGTTCATTTATTTCACTGAATCTCAACAAAGAAGCACCTTGATTGCTATGCGGAACAGATAGTAGGAAAGAAAATGAATCAACTATAGTTAGTAATGCTGGGTCAACAACAAAGTTACCTTTAAAAATCTATCAAAAAAGACCTGCAGAATTCGAAAATTTATTGTTATTTCAACTTAATTTGACACACAAATTTACTAACAATCAATAGAAAAGATGCGAGCGTGAAAATATCATATGAGTATGGCCATGCCCATTGCCTTTGCAAAATAGTCCTCAGTAGGAAGAATTTTGTTATGTAAAGGTTCTTCTTCACATTCACTTTTGAGATTTTCATCGATTGACTGAAAATGACACAATGTCATGAAATACTTTGTATAAATATCATATTGATGAAATCAATTCTGACCTAATAGATTTGCTTGGCCCTGCTGTAGAAAATGAAGAAAGTGATATTGCTGATGATGATGATGATGAGCAAGTATATGATAATAAATACGAAGCTTACTGATCTGACTGGATGCTCTTGGCAGAGATAGGCCCAAATACAACTATTGCTAATTCTTCTGCTATTGGATCTCATAGCATAGATAAAACTTATAATTGGGTTAGTGAAAGCAGACAAAACTATTCGAACATAGATATTGTGGATGCCAGTGTTTTTTACACCAAGCTTCTAATAGTTTTAGAATATTAAATCATGATAACTTATACTCGGAAGTTATTGATCTCGAAACTTTAAACGAAAAACAGAAAAGAGTTGTCAATAGAGTTGAAACATATTATCATAATATTCTTGCAGGAAATAAAATTGAACCATTAAGAATAATTGTAATGGGAACTGCAGATATTAGAAAATTGTATCTCATCAAAGTACTTCAAAATCGACTCAATACGATAGCAGGAGCTACTATTAAGTCACCAATACTTGTGTTAGCTCCAACAAGGGTTGCAATATTTAATATTAATAGGTTAACCATTTACTCTGCACTTTCAATATCAATAAATACTAAAAATATCGATATAAATGGTGCTAAGTTAAATCATTTGCACGAAAAGCTACAAAATGTGACTTACTTTATTATAGATAAGAAAAGTATGGTCAGACAATGAATGTTAGCCTTGATTGATATATGACCATGATAGGCTTTCTCTGAAAGCAAAAATGAATCTTTTGGTAGTCATTCCATTATTATGTTTGGTGATTTTAGTCAACTTCCACTTGTCTTAGATCTTCCTATGTACACAACTAATATATCACAAGACCCACTATCTAATGATGATCTTATGGCAACATACAAATTAAAGAGATGTATAAACTTGATGTAATTGAGCGTTAATCAGGAACATCTGAAGATCAACAGATGTTTAGAGATATTCTTTTATAATTGCGGGATAGGAAATCTATATTAGCAGATTAAAAAACTCTTACAACGTGATTTGAAGAAAAAATAACAGAAATTGAAAGAAATCAATTTTCTAGGGCTACTTTTATTTTACCCAGGTGGTTAGAGGTTGATGAAGTAAATTTAAATAAGCTTGCATCTCTGAACCATCCTGTTGCTAAAATACTCGCAGTACATAGTGGTGGGCCTGATGCTAAACGAGCTGACTCTGATGAAGTGATGAGTTTGGAAGCTCAACTATTATTAACGAAAGGTATACGTGTTATGCTAACCGCAAACTTATGAACTGAAGTTGGGTTAGTAAATGGTGCAATTAGAACTGTTCAAGATATTTTATATAATAAAGAAGGACCACCTTCTCTCCCTGTAGCAGTTTTCATCTCATTTGATAATTATCAAGGACCAACAATTACAACTTTAGAGGAAACCGAAGTAGTTCCAATTGCATTCATTAGATGCTTCTGGAAAAGTAAAGGTAGGGTAATATGCTCACGCTTACAAATACCTGTTTGTCTTGCATGGGCTATAACAGTACATAAAAGTCAAGGTCTCATACTTCAAAAAGCAGTAATAAACCTTGGATCTAAGGAGTTTGTAACAGGACTCTTATTTGTAGCTATTTCTAGGGTTCGCTTATTACCCGATCTAATTTTCAAAACTTTTAGTTTTGAAAGACTCCAGTATATAAAAAAATGTAAACGAATCCAAGAGAAAAAAGATGCAGAGAAACGGTTGGTCTCTATAATATCCTGAAAGAAAACTATATAAGAAAGCTAGAATATATGAACTATAGTTTTAATAAACAGTTTTTAAAAAAAATATCCATTTGTAAATTGCTAGTTTTAAGTTTCACTTTAAAAGATTCTACTAGTGTTTCGCTCAGTCATTGCGTTTGAATTAAATTTATTAATAAAAAAAATTTTTTTACAAAGTGGGTTTGTTAAAAGTATTTTATTTTAAAAGCTAGTTTACATATAATTTTTGTTAAATTATGACTTTCAAAGTGAAATAAAAGTTAATTGCAAATTACTAAATATATTATATTCGCACAGTATCAAAACATAAAAATTTTTTAATAAGATTGTACCAGCATAACGTGATTAATGCTTCTAATACTTTTATAGTATTTTGTGAAACAAGCAATTTATTAAATCGATAAAACAATACTTTTCTAATAAATCAAGTTAATAATGTTATTGCTTAAATAATATGATATCGCTTAATTAATATAATATCAGTAATTCATTTGTATATATGTAGTCAATATGCGATAAAATTTTTTAAAGTTTTTTATGTAGAGTTAGGGTTTGTATGAGGACTCGAATTTAAATTTTTTTTGTTAGAGTGCAAGTGGTAGTTTCCTAATCATGTTACATTATACAAAATTATATTTTTTGTTTGATATACCACAGATCATATGACTAGATGGACAGAAAATTCAAAGTTTTGTTTTTGATGTTTTAATATATGATGCATCAATAACGTAACTTTTGTATCACAACTTATAGAAATAAGAGTCCTTCACTACGCTCCAGACAATTATAAAATTAGTATAGTAAAATATTACATACTATAACAATCATATAACCATGATATATGTGATAATCACATAACATTGACAAACCTTTCACTCAACAACTTGCATATTTATTTTATTTATTTATTTTTTGTTATTTTATTATTATTATACATAGATCATTATATATAATATTAGTAGGATAGTAATTAAACATAAAACAGATTTGTAACAAGGAGGAATTATAGTTTTAGGAAGACTAGTCTAGAGAATAGATAGTTAGTAAATTAGTTTTCTTAGAAATATAAAAAATAGTTTGTAAAAGATTTGTAAAAAACATCATTTGTTGTCTCAAGTCTTAATGATCTAATAAAACAAGACTTTTTCATTTGATTTTTTTTTTTTTTTTCAATGTTAAGGTGGCCTCTTGGCCGGCTCCTTTTATTTGGTTATAGTTAACTTTTTTACAATATGCATTTATAGCATCTCGTATACATATTTGGAGAGCACATACTAGTCACACGTACAACTTTTGGTTGCCTATTTAAGTAGTCCGCTTATTACTAAGTTCTACACTAGATGTCA